AGGTACATAAGAACATAAGAGACGCCAATGTTGGATCAGGCCAAAGGCCCATCCAGTCCAACACTCTGTGTCACACAGTGGCCAGAAATACCAGTGCCATCAGGAGGTCCAGCAGTGGGGCCAGGACATTAGAAGCCCTCCCACTGTTGACCCCCCCCCAAGCACCAAGAAGACAGAGCATCACTTGCCCCAGAGCCCCTAGCTATACCTTGTGGCTAATAGCCACTGATGGACCTCTGCTCCATATGCTTATCTAATTCCCTTTTGAAGCCGTCCATGCTTGTAGCACCCACCACTTCCTGTGGCAGTGAATTCCATGTGTTAATCACTCTTTGGGTGAAGAAGTACTTCCTTTTATCCGTTCTAACCCGACCGCTCAGCAATTTCATGGAGTGCCCACGAGTTCTTGTATTGTGAGAAAGGGAGAAAAGTACCTCTTTCTTTACCTGCTCTTTCCCATGCATAATCTTATAAACCTCGATCATGTCACCCCTCAGTCGTCTTTTCTCCAAGCTAAAGAGCCCTAAGCGCCTTAACCTTTCCTCATAGGGAAAGTGTTCCAACCCTTTTATCATTCGAGTTGCCCTTTTCTGCACTTTTTCCAAAGCTATAATATCCTTTTTAAGGTGTGGTGACCAGAATTGCACACAGTATTCCAGATGAGGTCGCACCATTGATTTATATAGGGGCATTATTATATTGGCTGATCTGTTTTCAATACCCTTCCTAATAATCCCCAGCATAGCATTGGCCTTCTTTATTGCAGTCACACACTGTCTCGACATTTTCAGTGAGTTATCTACTACAACTCCAAGATCTCTCTCTTGATCAGTCTCTGCCAGTTCAGACCCCATCAACGTGTATTTATATTTAGGATTTTTGGCTCCAATGTGCATCACCTTGCACTTGGCCACATTGAACCCCATTTGCCATGTTGACGCCCACTCGCCCATCCTTGACAGATCCCTTTGGAGTGCCTCACAATCCTCACTGGTTTTCACCACCCTGAACAACTTTGTATCATCCACAAATTTAGCCACTTCACTGCTTACTCCCAACTCCAAATCATTAATGAACAAGTTAAAAAGCAGTGGTCCAAGTACTGATCCCTGCGGTACCCCACTGCTTACCCCCCTCCACTGAGAAAATTGCCCATTTATACTCACTCTCTGTTTTCTATTAATTAGCCAGTTTTTGATCCATAAAAGGACTTGTCCTTTTATCCCATGATTTTTGAGCTTACTTAGGAGCCTTTGATGAGGAACTTTATCAAAAGCTTTCTGGAAGTCAAGGTAAACAATATCTATTGGATCCCCATTGCCCACATGTTTAGGGAGCAGCAAAAGCGATCTGGGGACAAATCAGCAGCATTATAAGCAATGTTCCCTCTAAGCTGAGTGAGTGTGAGCTAGCTCACAGTTTTTTTAGCCTCCGGATCACACCTTTGTTGTCTTAGCTCAGGAAAGAGGGCCACAGAGCAAACTAGTTGATGGAGGAGCCAAACCTCTCGCTCACCACTTTAATGCCAGGAGCTCACAAAGTAGAATTTTTGCTCACCAGACTCCACAGTTTAGAGGGAGCACTGATTCGAAGGCCTTTTCTTCCAGGGCAAAAGACCCGTGGCCAATCCACACGGACCACGGTTGGAATGCTGCTACTCTGACAGAACTGGCCCGAGGCTTTCTGCCGATCACGCCCTCCATCCGGGGAGATACAGAGCCCTCTCCTCCGCCATCTCATCTTCACAACAGCCTTGTGCGGTAAGTTTAGGCTGAGACACAGTGACTGGCTTAAAGGCACATAGTGAGCCTCACCAAGATTTGAACCCGGATCTACCGAATCCTAGTCTGTCAACCATTACACCACGTTGGCTGCCTGGTGCTGAATATTGTCTATTCCCCAGTGGGATTGTAGTTTTAAATAGGCCTGTATTTCTTGGTGTTGGGGGGGGGGGCAACAGTGGGAAGTCATCTAATGTCCTGGCCCCACTGGGGGACCTCCTCATGGCCCCTGGTATTTCTGGCCACTGTGCGACACAAAGTGTTGGTCTGTATGGTCCATTGGCCTGATCCAACACTGGCTTCTCTTATGTTCTTACTTCTCCATTTTATCCTCACAACAACCCCATGAGGTAGGTTACGCTGAGAGTGTGAGTGGCCCAAGGTTACTCAGCCAACTTCCAAGGCAGAGTGGGGGATTCGAACCTGGGTCTCCCAGATCTCAACCCTACACTCTAGCCACTCCACAGCACTGGTTGTCCAGAGACACACCCCCAGAGGTGAAAGGACTGAAACCGACATCCTTCCTGGATCTTTCTGATCCTTCGGAGCTCGCTGTCCGACTGATCTGGAGCCCTCGCAAAGGACCTGCGCGTTCTGACTTGCTCTTACACAAATGCTGACGTGGAGCTGGTGCTGGTCTGGACGGGCAGGACATCCGCATAGGTTTCGTCCAGGGACAGCAGTACGTTGGCTGCTTGCTGGCCAGTTTCGGCCACTGCCAGGAGACGGGGAAGGTCGCGGTAAGCATCGGGGCCGGCCACAACATCCACCATCTTCTCCTGGTCCAGGATCTTCTCCTTCAGCCTCTCCGCCATGCAGCCTGTGGGTGATGGAGAATGGGGAGTGTCAGCCAAACAGGCCTTTAGCCTGGTGTGCCACCGCCCAATGACGAACACAACCAGGTGTCAGGTAGCCCTGTCATGGATCTGGAATGGGGAGGGGTACTCTCCTCCTCGTTCTCAGATCTTCCCTGTGCAGCTACTGTGCGCTATCCTTGGGTTGACCTTGTAGTCTCCAGCTGCAATTAACTCGACTGGGAACCTTAACGGCTTTCCGCTTTGCCTGCTTCTACGCTTGCTTTCGCCTGTGCGTGTGAATTATAATCATTGGCTTCTACTCATTGGGGGGGATGTTTGATTTCACTATAAGTCAGAGGCCCTTATACTGATGGCCTTTCCTGACACAAGCTGTACACGTGTTCTTTAGTACTGGAACCACTAATAAACACTTATCTTCTTATGAAGCCCTGTGTGGTGTGACCTGACTAACGACCCTGACACCAGCGAGATTCCAGAAGGGGAAACAACTTTATTGCAATAAAGAGGACCTTGGCAGCAAACCCAAGGACTCCATTAGAAGAGAAAATTGGATTTATACCTTGCTCTTCACTACCTGAAGGAGTCTCAGAGCGGCTTACAATCTCCTTCCCCTCCCCACAACAGACACCCTGTGAGGTGGGCGGGGCTGAGAGAGCTCTGAGAGAACTGCTCGAGAGAACAGCTCTGAGAGAACTTGTGACTCACCCAAGGTCACACCAGCAGCTGCAAGTGGAGGAGTGGGGAATCAAACCCGGTTCTCCCAGATTAGAGTCAGTGCTCCTGAACCACTACACCAAAATGGCCACACGAAACAGAATAGGGATGGGCATGAACCATGGTGTTCCCTTTAAATGACATTTGAAGCGGCGCAAGCAACTGGAAGTGAACCTGTGCACCACTTCCAAACATCATTGAAAGGGAAACTGTCCAATTTCTCCCATCAGCACGAGCCTTTTATACAATGTGACAAACAACTTTTAGACATGCACAGATGTCTTTAAATTACAGAGGTTATCCTTCCTTGATTTCTAAATAGGTACATTTGCCAAGCATATATGCCTTTTTGCCCTGATTTGGAACAGTTATGACTTCCTACATAACTTGCAAAACCCTTTCCTTTTCCCAGACCACAGCTTCGCTTAATCAGACACGTCTAGACATCATCTTGCCCTCTTACCCAATTTACCACATCCTGTTTCCTACTGTGACGAAATTTAACTCACCTACACTGCGCACAGCAACGGTACAGGACCAACAGCGTTTTAAGATTTATGCTGTAAAATAGCGTCACTCTGGCCAGCTTGCCGATCAGGAGTGTGGACAAGGAACCAGGGAGACGAAGAGGTAGGAGACCAAAGAACGGGGCGTTGGGCTCGGAAGCAGACACCCCGAGGAAGGTTCCGTTTTGGAGTCTGAATGCCACCTCGGTCTCCGAGGCTCTATCTCGCAGAAGAACCAGGCGGCTGAACCTACAGCTGCAAGTTAGAGGAGACCTCCCCACGAAACAGAGAACTCACACTCCAGGGACAAAAGATCCGGACCACCCCTCTGTCAACCCTGAGCTCTTTCTCCCCCCCCCGGTTCTCCCCCCCCCCGTCTCTTTTACCCAAAATCCCGATGCGGAGTGGGACCAGCGCGGAAGACCGCTTGGACTTCAGAGCCGTGAGGTGCCGCAGGCGGTTCCAGATGGTCCGCTCAGCCTTTTCCCTGAGAAAGAAGAAAGAAGAGCTTTACCCATCTCTGCTCAGCACACACGGCCCCTTCAACGGGGAAGCAGTGTTCCCTCTAAGCTGACGTAGTGTGAGCCAGCTCACAGTTTTTTAGCCTCCGGCTCACACATTTTCATCTTCGCTCAGGAAGGAGGGCTCCAGAGCAAACTCATTGATGCAGCAGCCAAATCTCTCTCGCTCACAACTTTACTGCCAGCCGCTCACAATGTAGAATTTCTGCTCACGAGACTCCACAGCTTAGAGGGAGCATTGCTGGGAAGGCATCGCGTGTTCCTCCCTCCCCGACCCAAAATACATTAGGTGCTGATGACGCCCTGACACCAGAGAACCTACAACTGCTGAACAGTTGAAACTGAAGGGAACGACCATACATCCCGTGCTCCCTCTAAGCTCTGGAGTCTTGTGAGCAAAAATCCTACTTTGTGAGCTACTGGCATTAAAGTTGTGGGCGAGCAATTTGGCTGCTGCATAAATTTAGTATTCCCTGGAGCCCTCCTTCCTGAGCTAAGACGAAAATGTGTGAGCTGGAGGCTAAAAAACGGCGAGCTAGCTTAGAGGGAACAACCATATGTCCTCCACCCACATGAACTGGCCCATCTTCTTTGGAGGCCGTTCTTCCGTTGCCCCTGCCCTCTGAAGCGAAGATAGGGGGGGCAACCTGAGAAAAGGGACTTCTCAGTCTTGGCACCAAGACTTTGGATTTCCCTCCCCAGGGGGATTTATCTGTCTCCCTCTATCGGTGTTGTCATGATCTGGGCTGTTGACAGAGGGGTGGTCAGGGAGCCTGGCTAGCAGTAGGTGAGGCTGGGCCCACAACTCCCAGAAGCCCCTGAGGGGTTTTGGAGCCAAAACTGACCAATAGGAAAAGAGGAGGGCTTGGAATAAAAGATCTGGTGCAGTAGGAAGAGCTGTTCTTCTTCCCAGGAAGAAGGGACTGAGGCTGCTGTGGGGGAGAGACCCTCATCCTGAGGGAAGGGTGACTAGTCTAGTGCCACTTGAAATAGTGAGCTAGGGACAGTACATATTTAGACATGTTAGGGCATTTGATTTCTTTTCTTTTCACTCACTTACTGTTATATTTCTGCACCTTGTTGGTTTGACCTCTTATACAATGAACGATTTTCATTGTTCACTCTGCCTGGTCCTCACGCCTAGTATTCGGCCAAAAGGGAGGTCTAAAGGTCTTGGGAGGGTGCTCTGGGCCTTCTCAAGGGATCCTAAATCCAGAGTGGTGGCAGCGTCAGGTGACACCCCACCTGAGCTGTGACAGGTGTCTTTCACCAGCAAGTGAAGACTCTTTTGTTTGGTCTGGCGTACCCCAATAATGGTTACTGGCCCTCCTTCTAATACAGTTTGTGTGTATTTTAATTAAATTTACTTTATCGTTTTAACAATTTTTAATTGCTCGAACGTTTTAATGTTGTCGTCGTTTTTTTACATTTGTCACCTTGTGGATCCTGATCAGATGGCTGGGTAGCATAAAAGTGCTATAATAATAACCATTCCATTGTCGTTCATTCTCCCAGAGCTTCTAAGACATTATCTCACAACAAGCCTGTGAGGTAGGCCGGTTGCTCTTATCCCCATATCGACAATTGGGGCTGAGAGTTTTGCAGCGTAGCTGATGGGGGAGGCAAATCAGGACTAGGGGCTCTCCCAAGCTCAGACCCCAGATGGGACAGTTCATCAGTCCAAGACACATCAGCTTCACTTCAGGAAGGAGAGACTGGACTGCAACAGATCCACAGATCGCAACATCTTCCTCTGCTGGGCCTGCATCCCCGGAAGATTCCTCCATTCCCCCAAAAAAGATCCATGGGTGCTGAACCAATAAATCCATTCCCCATTTAAATTATATCAATCAACTTGGCATGGGAAGGTTAGCAGATGCCTAAAGTTACAGCATCCCTTGTTCCCAAGGTCTAATTACAATTGAGCCAGTCCACTGTCTTCTTCAAGTAGAAGAGGATTCCGGACTGACTCTGTTAGGGAAGGACCATGGCTCAGTGACAGAGCCTCTACTTGGCATGCAGAAGGTCCCAGGTTCAATCCCCGGCATCTCCAGCTAAAAGGACCAGGCAGGAGGAGATGGGAAAGACCTCAGCCTGAGACCCTGGAGAGCTGTAAAGAGGGGCCCATGGCTCAGTGGTAAAGCTTCTGCTTGGCCTGCAGAAGGTCCCAGGTTCAATCCCCAGCATCTTCAGTTAAAAAGGACCAGGTAGGAGGTGATGGAAAAGACCTCCGCCTGAGACCCTGGTGAGCTGAAAGAGGGGCTGTGGCTCAGTGGAAGAGCATCTGCTTGGCATGCAGAAGGTCCCAGGTTCCATCCCCGGCTCCTCCAGTTAAAAGGACCAGACAGGAAGTGATGGGAAAGACCTCTGCCGGAGACCCTGGAGACCTGTAAAGAGGGGCTGTGGCTCAGTGGCAGAGCCTCTGCTTGGCCCGCATAAGGTCCCAGGTTCAATCCCCGGCATCTCCAGTTCAAAAGACCAGGCAGGAGGTGATGCCAAAGACCCTGGAGAGCTATGGGAAGGGGCCGAGGCTCAGTGGAAGAGCCTTTGCCTGGCAATGCAGAAGGCCCCAAATTCAATCCCCGGCAGCATCTCCAGTTACAAGGACCAGGCAGTAGGTGACGTGAAAGACCTTGACCTGAGACCCTGGAGAGCTATGGGAAGGGGCTGTGGCTCAGTGGCAGAGCCTCTGCCTGGCATGCAGAAGGTCCCAGGTTCAATCCCCAGCATCTCCAGTTAAAAGGACCAGGCAGGAGGTGATGGGAAAGACCTCAGCCTGGGACCCTGGAGAGCTATGGGAAGGGGCTGTGGCTCAGTGGCAGAGCCTCTGCCTGGCATGCAGAAGGTCCCAGGTTCAGTCCCCAGCATCTCCAGTTAAAAGGACCAGGCAGGAAGAGATGGGAAAGTCCTCAGCATGAGACCCTGGAGAGCTATGGGAAGGGGCCGTGGCTCAGTGGAAGAGCCTCTGCCTGGCATGCAGAAGGTCCCAGGTTCAATCCCGAGCATCTCCTGCTAAAAGGACCAGGCAGTAGGTGATGCGAAAGACCTCCGCCTGAGACCCTGGAGAGCTGCTGCCCGTCTGAGGAGAATACGGGACCGAGGATCTGATTTGGTATGGCAGTTTCATGCATTCATGTGTGTGTTCCCGGGGATGGCTTGAAGAGGAGAGGAGATTGGATTTATATCCCACCTTTCACTACCCAAAGGAATCTCGGAGCAGTTTACAATCTTCTTTTCCCTTCCCCTCCCTACAACAGACACCCCGGGAGGTAGGTGGGGCCGAGAGCTCTCTCGAGAACTGCTCCTGAGAGAACAGCTCTGAGAGAACTTGTGACTGGCCCAAGGTCACACCAGCAGCTGCATGTGGAGTGGGGAATCAAACCCAGTTCTCCCAGATTAAAGTCCGCGCTCCTAGCCACTACACCAAACTGGCTGCCAGAGACTGAATCCGGGACCTTCTGTGTTCAAAGCAGGGGCTCCCCCCAGTGAGCCACACGACCTCCGGCGGACTCTGGGCTCTGGGACCCTCTTCATTTCTCTCATTGCCATTTCTTGACACTCACACTTGGTTGGCACCACTTTGAAGATCAAAGAAATAAAATATACATACAGGGAGATTCTGACCTGATGGAACACGTGACAAGCAGAATGACGTCCGCCTGAAAGAAGGAAGAGAAGGGGGGAGGGGAATGAAGAGTTTCCAATTTTAATTTCCACAGCTAGACAGGACTGCAGGGTAAGGAGTTTGTCGACCTTCTGAGGCCCCTTGCTCCGACATGGCACCTGCATGGAGTCACACTCTGGACGCAGGACTCTCCCTAGGCTCCGAAAAGTCCCAAAATTGTCTCAAAAGAAAAATCAAGTTTCTGGCCCTCAAAGTGGCAGACAGGAGCATGCAATGAGGAGGAGGAGGAGGAGGAGGAGACTGGATTTATACCCCGCCCTTCACTCGGAGTCTCACAGCGGCTCACAATCTCCTTTCCCTTCCCCTCCCCACAAGAGACACCCTGTGAGGTGGGTGGGGCTGAGAGAGCTCTGACAGAAACTGCTCTTTTTCAAGAACAGCTCTTATCAGAACTACGGCTTGCCCAAGGTCATCCAGCCAGCTGCAAGTGGAGGAGTGGGGAATTAAACCCAGTTCTCCCAGATTAGAGTCCGCGCACTTAACCACGACACCACACTGGCTCACCAAACATGAGCAAACACACATAAGCTGAACACAATGGGACCATAAACCTGCATTTAGGGTTGCCAGTCTCCAGGTGGGGCCTGGAGATCTCCCAAACTGATTGGTCTCCAGACCAGAGAGATCAGTTCCCCTGGGGAAAACAACCACTTTGCAGGGTGGACTTTATGGCATTAGACCTCTCTGAGCAGAACACAGCAGCTAAATGGAACCTCCATGTATAGGGGTAGTGTATCGCAGAACTACACCTCTTTGAGATTTCTGTTGAAACTGTGCTCTGTGTACGTCCATAGGATGAGAGTGTTTCAAATTCAGCACTGAAGGGACATAAAGACCCTGGTGAAAGAGTCATATAAGTAACACAAATACGTTCCGTATAAATATAAATAAGTTTATATGGATTGTAATACAAATTATAATAATTTATTTATTTATTTATTTATTTATATTTGAATTTCTACC